AAGCACTCCTCACTGTCAGGTTGATGGCCTGATTGTTTGGATAACAAGATGCTTACCGGATGAAAGCGAGACTTTGTTGGTAGATGCAAAACGAAGTATACTCTCTCGTTCTTCAAAGGCAATAAAGTTACGGGCAACCTTCACTTTCCATCCACTACTTGTGGTGTTTTCAGGGCACATTTCTTTGAAGTAAATGGTTTGAAGGAAAACAATTTTTTGTTCCAGTGATGAATTTTCAAATTTGAAAAGATGAGTTGACTGAGATCTTAAAATACCTGCAAAATATAAGAGCATAAATTTAAAATACGGTGAAGTCTGTACGTTTATAATTGAAGGGCACAAAAACAAAAAACGTATGAATTCTGCAATATAATTACTGATTCTTGCATGATCAGGACATAGAACACATGAAAATAATAACTTCACACATTTTCGCTCTTGCTTTGTGACTTTACCCGGAGAAGAACTTTAATTCATGAGAGCTAACTTTGAGAGTGGACAATTTTCGTCAATTCAGGTTTATATGCTGGATCACTTGTCACCTGAAAATGTCCTCTAGAATCTAAAAAAATATGTTAGGAATAGTTAAGTACTTTTTCAAGCCAAAGGCAACCATTAAATTGCACTTTGATCTGATAATTCGAACCCTCTCTTGCTGCTTCACAAAATTGTATTTTTGGATTGAATACTTCGAATCACCACAACATCTTCGATAGTTGGTAGAGGTAAATTCAATTCACAATATTTCAAAGTCTATTTAAGAAAAGACTTGCTAAGTTATTAACCCTCTAAGGCATGAATTAATTTTGGATCTCACATTCTGGAGGGCACACATCTATTTTGTGGCTTACGTTATACGAATTCGTAACGCTATGCCATGGAGGGTTACGCAATCAGAACAACATTAACATCTACTCAATGTGATAGGAGCCATGGGAGAGAAGGGACAGAAAAATCATCCAATAATGCTTCCTATTTTACATTTGGGCTTATTTGTGCTAAACAGAACGATGTGGAAATGGGTTTAATCAAAGGTAACTGTTAGCATATGGTTTTTCGCGCTGTATAGTTCCTCTTGATTTTACGCATTTGCAAATAGTTCCCTTTGACATAAATATGTCTATTTGACAACTCCATATCTGCAACTTTCCTAGACTACAGGAAAAAGCATTCTGATCTCAACAATTATAAACGACTGAATAATTTTGATATTTTCGGGAGTTATTGCTGCTGAAATGACTTTCATATAGACTGGCAGAAAACATTTTGTGACCCTGAATGTATCTTTTATTTGAAAGATATGATATAAACAATACTTGGATATTCTTCAGATGGATATCAAAGCTGTCTTAGCTAACTAAGTATTATCTCTTGATGTTACCCTGCTAATCTCAGGCACCATTCGATATTTCATCTACACCATAAAGAGAGGGTTATTACCAGGAGATACTCTATTGTAGATCACACTATGATCTGTCATGAATGGTTTTGATCCTGGTGATAAGTATGGCACATTTCCTTGAATAATAGCATCCATTTTCAATTGGTCGAACACGTCCATGCCATAATACCTTTGTCGAATGCTTACACGATGTCCAGAACCCAGAAATGAGATATCACCCGTGTAGTTTAAGACTCCACCTTGAAAAAAAGAGAACAGTTTAAAAATAGGAATTTTGGTTTCCATTCTTGTAATAAGTACTAAGCAAACTTTTGAAATAAGCCAGGAGCCAGTTCAGAGATATCAATCCACGAAAGCACATCAAGGACTCAGACAAAGTGGACTTAATCCATACCCAACCAGGAAGAAGCGATTGCAAAATTGTTGTCACCCTTCTGGCGAAACTGACATTGCAGCAATGTTTTCGAGACAATATTGAAAAAAAAAAAATTTTGGCAGTTGCGAGGTAAGTAGGAGATGCATCCATGTGCACCGAAGCAAATGATTTACTTGTTGATGATTAAAAAAGTAACCATCTATCAACGAGAAGATAAACTAGAGAACTGATGGAACAGAGTAAGAGATTAAGAACTATGACACACACTGGAGTGCCTCAATCGCAGAATACACTGGCTCCAAATTACACTCACCAGTGAGAAATTAGAGTTTTCTATGTTGGTCCATTCAGCTATCCTGCTCATCAAAAAACCAAGATTCTTAAAAGTCAAATCAGGCACTAAATTCATTTCAGTGTTCTAAGCGATAAAATAAAGAAATATTCTGGGTGCAGAATTTCCCTTCATGACCTACTAAAAGGGGAAGCAGAATGGAGGGGAGATTTTTGCGATTCCAACCCCTAATCATTTGGCTGGCGTATGTTTTTCTTTCAAGCCTGCTTTAACTTGCATCGATTTTGGTCACTGAAAATCAGAATCTCCTGGTGAAAAGTTCAGATCTTAATTTTTCACTTCCGTATTCATTAATGAACGACTTTCTAAGAAAGTTCAACTTGTTTTTCATTAAATTTGGATGAGAAGTCATATCGACAGTGTAAGTCGGCAATCACATAACTCGTTTGCGGTGTCTGAAAATCTCCGCCTCTATGTTATTTTTTTAAAGGAGAACAAATTGACATCATTCTTGAAGTTTTTGCAGAATATTCTTTGCACAGAGAAGAAAATTCACGGCAGTTTCAAACAATTGCCGTTGAGTAGTTTTCCGTTTAAAAAAGTAAGTATGACAGGATGTCTGCGAAGTCGCAAACCGAGCTATGTGTTTGCGCACTTACACCGTCGATATGGAATGCAATAGTTACCTAGTTATCAATTTTAATGAATGTAATTTAATTATCTGAATAATGCAAAGCAAAGAATGAATATTACTTACCAGTCAGCTGATAACCGTTGTGAGCATTGTTGACAGACTTTGCAAAGAGCCAGGAAATTGGACTTGCGAACAGATTCAGAAACTGTGAGTCATAACCAATCGTGCTGGGGACCTTGGATATTGCTGTATAACTTCTGCCATCGACGGTGACGATGTAGCCTTGGAGGTCAAGTTGCTTCGCTGACACTCCATTCAAATCGAAATCAACCTTTCCGTTTATCCTCAATGGAATATCTAATTAGCAGAAAGCACCAAGATAGAAATTAAAGAAATAAAAAGTTGATTGACAAATCACAAATTAGGGGCATGGGATGGATTTAGAATCACAAAAGAAAATCACTCGCAGCCTATGGTGCATAAAAGTTAACAAATACTTCGTCGATTTAAGAGAAAGAATTCAACAGAATCAATTTAGAATTTTGTTCCAGACTGAAATTTTCGCATGATGATGCATGTAATGTGTAATTCTTTGGAAGGAGCAAAAAAAAAAGAAACAAAATTACATACCGAACTCACAATGAGTGAAGTATTAGTTGTCATCCGAACTTCTTCCTGATTTTGAAGTAAAAAAGTGCAATGTGTACGGAGCCTGAATTTTGCATTATGCTGCATGCGATAAGAAACATGATTATTTTCGTAAACAAATGAAACGTCTTTCACGTTTACCGAACACTTTTACATCTTTTTAGGGATATTTCAACGAGCGAAATGCGGGGAGGTTGAGGTTAGTAAAGAAACTTTGTTTACCTTTTAACAATTGCTAGGTTGCCAATCGAAAATTGACCATGAATATTTTACGGATTGCACTTTGAATTTTGAAGGGGCCAAAAATACACACACATGCTTGAATGACCGACTACCTTTAAGTATTCATTTAACATTATTTTCAATACTGCAATGAGGGATGTTCTTACGTGCGTTTATGTGATAATTTCCTGATTTCAGTTCTATCGATTTGGCAACATTAAATGGCGAATGGCGCCAATCATCAAACCATTGACCAATCACATTCATTATACCTTGCCGCTGTTTAAAATTTGCCCGCGCATTCTTTCCCGCGATCCCGCCCCCTCCTGTCTATGCTTGCCATCCGCGGATTCAAAGATGATTATACAGTGAAAATGGGCACTTGAATTCGCAACGTTGCGAATACCCCATCGCAAATCTTGTTAAAAGAGTGCAAAACTTTGTCATATCTCAACGTCTACTTTGCTTTTCACCGCTGTTTTATCATGTGTGAAAAAAATTGCACAAAAAACCTTCAATTATTTTCCTAGTTACGAGAAAATTAAAAATTTCATCGAGTCATTTGATAGGTCTAAATATGAAAGATGAAATTTCCTGGGAGGAAAACTAAAGAAATCTCTTATGAAAGACCAAATACGAACCTCGCTTGAGACATGTGATTCCATTTCCAAAGTAGGAAGATTTGCAAAGACAGCAGAAGCCTCTTTGATTATCTACGCACTCTGCACTGCTATGACATGAAGTTGAACCAGTTGCACAGCTAGTCTCGATTTCATTTTCTGAAACAAGAAAGTAAAAAGGAACAAAAATGAGAGAAAGAGAACATGATATAAATAGGGCAACTATAAAATAGAAGAGTGTTGGTAGCAGCCAGGGCCGGATTTACCTACTTGCCGCCCATGGGCCGCCTGTATTTTGCCGCTCCCTTCTCATTCGTTTTGAAACATGAATAAAAACCATCAAATGAACGTGCCGGAGGGGAAGGGATGCATAAGACACATTTAATCGTGTTGGACACATTTTTCGCGAAAGCCTTGTCAACATTACTAGCAAAAGTTCACGGAACTTTGCGCGAAAGTTAAGTTCCGTAAACCTACCTCTGTGTGGACAAGGCCTTCCATTTATAAGAAATGAACGAAACGATTATGAAAGAACAAACATGGATGTGGTTTAATAATTTTAACTTCCGCCGACGCGCAGCGCTGACCGCACTGTGTTTGGCGAAATGCGTGAAGTATTGATGCAGTCTTGTAGGCGCTATGCCGTTCGCGTCGATCGCTGCTGACCGCACTGTGTTTGACGCAATGCGTGAAGTATTTATTCAGTCTTGTAGGCGCTATGCGTTTCACGCCGACCGCTGGACCGCTGCTGCTGACCGCACTGTGTTGGACGCAATACGTGAAGTATGCGTGCAGTCTTGTAGGCGCTAATATGTGTTACATGCCGACCGCCGCGCCGAGGGCTTCTGCTTTTCATCGCAAGTCCTCGTCATCATTGCTCTCTGCGCCGCGCTGCTCCAGGCCAAATTGTGTGTTTGGTTTCTCTCTTTACTCGACTAATTAAAGGTGCTGTCTCTTGTATCACCGAAAGACGACAAAACTAGAAATCACTATATTCTCAGGAAATGAGAGATTTTGTTGCCTTTTCTCGTTTGTATTTTTTTATATACCTACATTTAAAAAAAAAAAAAGCATAATTTGCCGCCACACTGGAAAAAAACACATTGGAGCTAGAGTCCAGACTCTTGAAAACATATACAAGAAAAAATACTCTTGATTCAATCGGATTTTTGCTTGAGTCAAATCGAAAAATCCGCTTAAACTAAGAGGCTTGGTTCTTGATTTAAGCTAGATTCTGATTGAATCAAGAGTACTTTTTCTTGTCGATGTTTTTAAGAGTCTAGACTCTAGATCCAATGTGTTTTTTTCCAGTGCATGGGCAGCGGCCCATGCGGCCATCCCCTAAATCTAGCCCTGGTAGCAGCATCATTTATGATTTTTATGTTCAAAAATTAGTGACATCATCTCAATAAATAGCCATTATTCCCGGTGTTCTGTGACAAAATGTCGTTCATTAGGGGCTTTACTTTACGCTTCACAGGATTTATTCTTTTACCTTTGACCCCACCTCACACAACTGTTTTGGCTATGTAAAAACGAAATCGAAGAAATTCGACTTTCGCCTAAGATTCGAAGTGAAATAGGAGATGCAAATTATTAACTAACCTCTTTGCGGAATTTCAGGAGCCTCTGCGTTTTCATCCGTGCCAATATTTCCGATCCTGAATATCCAAAGTCCTGGAGTACCTGTGTTTGACCATCTGAAATGAAACAACAAATTAGAAAATCAAGAAACGCATTGACGAAAGACAGTGATTAAATTATAATCAATGTTATTCTATTTTTTTTTTTTTTAAATTGATAGTGCGATAAATACCTCAGGGGAAAAGTCGTAGTTTAGCAAGTCAGTCTAATGGCCTCCTATGGTCTCGAGTTTTAAAGGATACACGAAACATAAGTTGAGTTTTTGAATTGAATTAACTTATTTTGAATATGAATCGAAAATAAAATATGGTGTTCCTACGACAATTAATCGTCGAATGTTACCTCTCTCTTTTCCTCAAAAGCTTACAGGCGCGAAACTGGATATGCCGTATATAGATTGCGGTGTTTTGGAATTTCCGTTCATATTTTATTTTCCTTTTGAAAGGCTACCTACTGCCTGAATTTTGCAGCTTGAAGTTTTAGAGGGGGAAAAAAAAAAAAATCCTGAAAAGGTGGAAAATGAGACGCAAAAACACTGAACATAGGTATAGTTGAATAAGGAAAAAATGAATAACAAATTAAAGAGCCTCGCCAAGTTTAGCCCCTTTTTTTTTATACCCGAGTTGGTCAACCGGACAGTGCTCAAATGAAAGCCTATGGTAAGGCAAACTTCCATGCAAAGTTTCAACTTGAAGTGACCCCTCGTTTAGGCTGTACAGCGTTGCCAATTTTCCAGTTTCATGTGTTAAAATCAAGGATATTGGACTATTAGTCCGGTGCATAAGTAGACTAGTACACCCGAGTTGGTTAACGGGACAAGGCTCAACGAAAGCTTATGGTAAGGCAAACTTCCAGGAAAAGTTTCAACTCGAAGTGACCCCTCGTTTAGGCTGTACAGCGTTGCCAATTTTTCATTTTTATGCGCTATACTCAAG